AGTCAGTGTGAACTCTGTAGCATTAAATGAGTGTTATTGCAGTATTGCTTAAAATAATTATGATTTTTGTCCATATTTGAGCAACTGTTGCATTTTGATCCTCAAACCTAGTTCTAAAAACTCATCTACTTTCAAAATAGCAGCCCAACAGATAATAAAAAAGCACTATTTCAGCCACGTTCAGGAAACAAGATAGGAGAACATGTTTCCCAATAAAATAAACAGATAAAAAGGAGAAACAGACAAAGAAATAAAATATATAGAGTTTCATTTTTTTTACATTATATAAACAAATTCATTAGGTTGGAAGCTAATTAAAAACAATTTACACAGATAAAACCAAAAACTAGGACAATTTTTCTGGCTGAATGAGAAATATTTTAACTAAGTGCTTCAACATAACTAGTTTTTCTTTCTCAGCAACACATTCTCACACCCTAAGCGTCGGAAACAAACGCTTGGTCAGCCACCCTCCACGTCAGACCCCAGACGCCAAAAGTACCCTTTTTCGTTACTTATGTGTGAAAAGGGGTTTTTCCCTTTTGTAACTGCAGATCCCAATGCAGCGTAAAACTGACGTGATTAGATATCCGCTGATGCGGCACCGAACCAGCTCATTTAACCGCACCTAAACCTTAACGTTTCACTATTTATAACCTTCCCCTCTCCCTCATCCTAACCTTAACCCTCTTGCTACCTAAAACGTTACTCTCACTGTGATCAAGCGTTTGTTTCCCCTGCATTCTGACTCTGACAGTCAGTCTGACTGTGAATTTTCGTATTTGCCGCCCAAGGGGAACGTTAGAACATACCATCTGGCGAGGGGGAGGTTACACATACCCTCTACTTTTAACCTCTACCGTGGTAGTTGAAACCTCCCCCTCGCGTTGGCTCGGTCCAAACTCGACCAATCACGAGGCGGCTCCCGCCGTTCACTTCATAGAGCTGGCTTTTAGAGCGATCAACACATCACTAACGTGTTCGCTGGCAAGATGGTTAAGGTTAGGATAGGGGTGAGGGGAAGGTTAAATAAGAGGATAAGGTTAAGGTGAGGTACAATGAGCTTGTTTGGTGCCCTGGCTGCGGACATCCCATCGCGTCAGTGTAACGCTGCATTGGGATCTGCAGTCAAATAAGGGAAAAAACCCCTTTTAGCACATAAGTAACGAAAAAGGGCATTTTTGGCGTCAGGGGTCTGACGTGGAGGGTGGCTGACCAAGCGTTTGTTTTTGACGCGCTGGGAGTGAGAATGTGTTGTTCTCTTGGTTTTCAAAAACTTTTAGAGAAATACTGCTTGAAACTGATGCAAAGATTATAATATTTCTTTATGCAACCTTAAAAAATGAGGGGACAAAGACAGAACGTCACACTAAACACACATGGTATAGGCCTGCACTTTATACACACACATGCCCAGTTATAACACATGCATGATAGTCAGAGGATGAGCACATCCACATATCCCAAAGAAAAAATGCATTAATCCATTATAATCCTCTTGGGGATTTCAATATCCTGTAATTAATTCATTTATGTATTTCATTTTTAAAACCGGCTATGAGAAAAGAAATCTGTGAAGGTGAGGAGAAAGAGACTATGACAACGCCCTCTATTAAAATACTGGAGTGGTTCAGATTTTATTTAATCTAGCTTTATTCAAGTAGAAGAGAATCAAAGTTTTAGGATGAGTGATAATTTGTGAAAGTCTTTGCAAACATCACCTATAGAACATCAGAAACATATTGTCAGGCTCCTATTTTACTCTTCTACAAAGAGATGGTTAAATCCTCTAAAACAATACAAAATCAGTCTGGTTTAAAGGGGAAGGTTGAAGGAAGAAAACTCAAACTGTGGAAATGTGTAAACATCAGATGAAATGCATGTTTGCATGTTACCAAGTGTCTTCTCCATCAACTTTCATTAGCTTAGAAATGTGAAGTGATTGGAGCTCTCTGCGGTGATTGGAGGAACACTCAGAGCGGCTCATTCTAATACTAGAGAAAGAAGATATGAAATACATCAAAAGGAGTAGAAAAGGAAGTAAAAGGAAAGACAGGAGCACAAAGCCACACTTGGCTTAGCATGAGTGTCTTTTTGCATATTCTTCAAAAATTCTCTAAATATATTTACTTAATAAGCAGATAAATCACTACTTTGCGTTTTATATGTAGGTGTAAATATACTTAATGTTATTCAACAATTTTTCTTCAGGATATATTGAGTCAACATATCCAGTAAAGACAGCATTTTATATCCGTACACCCACATCTCACATCAGGGACTTGCCAGTGGTAAAACACAGCCGGACACTTCTGACCTCTCAACACTCGAGGACTGAATGCCTCACTAAAGGGCAGTGCATCTATTGAGAGGATGCAGAAGAGGAGAGTTTAACTTGCTTTACCTTGAGCTACATTAATATTAACAGAAAACACAATGAAAATATTAACATTGCTTAGGGCACTGGTATGCTGATCAGAAACCACAGCAATAAACAACAGTCTACCCAAGTATCCATCCATATGTTCTAATGATGACTGATACCTCACATATCTGTAAAGCCCTTTTTACAAGACACACCATGCCGGCGTAATAATACTGCAATGGTGTGTCTTATAAACGAGCCATGGCGTTGCGTGGATTTTGCGGCATTCGTTCAACCTCGCTTGGCAGTAATATAGCGGTAATGGTCTGTCTCATAAACGGGAGGTGTTATGATGACGTGGGGAGTTAACGCCGAGATCCAGCCGGCAAATATATTTAAAATTAAAGTAAACACAGTAAGTTTTGCTTTTTGAACAAAATCAGCTGAGACGGCAATCTGGAGCACCACAGCGCTCCTTGAGCGTCTCTCTGTTAAGCTCAGATCACCAGAGACTGCACAGGGACTGACGAGGACAGACACCTTTAGGACTGGCTTGTTAAGAAAAGTTAACGATCGCGGCTTCAATCGCAACAAAAAGCAAGTTATGTCCAAGATACACAGAAGTCCGCGGCATCGCAGAGACCACCCAGTTCCCTCCATTATGCCGCCATCCCCTAATCTTTTATAAAAAGGACACAATGGCGGTATTGTGGCGTAATCGTGACCACTTATAAAAGACCTAAGGGTCCCTGATGCAGCCACGGCGTTGCGGCAAATTCATTTATAAAAATGGCTTAAGAAAGTAGAAGCCAAATGACAGCACGCAACTTTAAGTTCATGGACTGTGACCTCATCTGTGGTCACGAGCTTTGGGTAGTGACCGAAAGAATGAGATCGCGAATACAAGCAGTTGAAAAGAGTTCTCTCTGCAGGGTGGCTGGGCTCTTCCTTAGAGATAGAGTGAGAAGCTCGGTCATCCGGGAGGGGCTTAGAGTAGACTTGCTGCTCCTCCACGTCGAGAGGAGTCAGTTGAAGTGTCTTGGGCATCTGGTTAGGATGCCTCCTGGATGCCTCCCTGGCCAGGTTTTCCAGGCACATCTAACTGGGAGGAGACCCAAGGGAAGACCCAGGACACGCTGGAGGAACTATGTCTCTCAGCTGACCAGGGAACGCCTTAAGATTCTCCCAGAAGAGCTGGCCCATGTAGCTGGGGAGAGGGAAGTCTGGGCCTCTCGGTCAGACGGACGGACGGATGGATGGTACCCAGGGGTAGACTGGGACCAAAATTCAGCCTTGACATTTTAATGAACTGTCGACCCTCAGAGCATGTGTGTGTGTGTGTTTTGCTTGTGGACTCGTCTCTATAGGTGGTTTTCCAGCAACGCTACTCAGCCTGAAACAGCTCTGTACAGTGTGGTTTGAATCAGCCCATCTGAGTGTAGTTTTGTTCCCATGCCAGCTCCACGACAAAAAATGGGTGCGCCCTTCATAGGTGCAGGGGGGAGGATGGGGAGGCGTGGCAGTATTTATTCTCATGACAAAATAACATGAGGTGGTCAGTAAACAGTGTAAGGTAACTTGTATGCTTCACAGAAACATAACTTGACTGAAAACATTGGTGTTGCTGGACATTTTCAGTTTTATGGGTTTTTGTTAGACTCTGAACCAGGAAATGTCTGCAGGCAGGGAAACAGAAAGCAAAAAACTCCGCAGCAACCAGTGACTCCGCCCCTAGCCAATCAGTGGCCAGAATTACGTTGCCGGCCCGGCTCAGCCTTGTCAGGAATATAAAAATAGGGGAGAAAGTAGAGGGAAAATACCGAACCGTGCCCGTGGGAACAGTGGTCGGACCGAGCTGCTCTGTTTGGTGTTCCTGGAAAACCACCTTATGCTGCAGGTCGTGAGAGCGGGGGTGGGGGGGTGGGGTGGGTTGTGATGAGCGGCCCACTTGTCTAAGGCCAGATAGGCCAGTCCACCCCTGATGGCACTTTGGTCAACTTTTGTTGTTCTGCATAAATAAAGTACAAGTAGTTGATTCGAGTCACTTGGAGTCACTTGGAGCTGTCCACGTGTGATCTGCTCACCCAAAACACAGGGTAGGGAACCATATTTTGGAGTTGGTACTGTAACCAAGGCAAATCTAATACCTGAAAAGACTCTGGAGAAACAAAAACGATGATGACCCACAGACACTCCCAACATATTTGACCCAAAGTCCTTTGTGATCAGTGGTGCCTTAACAAAAGGACAGGCCATTTAATTAAACTTTCTTGGATCCAGTGGCTGATCACAGTCACTTCTATCTGTGACACTGCACGGGTTATAAAAGCCAATCGACTTGGCTGAGTCACACCAAGAATTTATAACTGTATAATCACCTAATCTGGCATGTTGACCATCTAACTTACCACTGTCATTTTGTCAATGCCAGCAGCATCCCTGACAGAAATAGAGGATTTACTTAAGCATTAGTGTTGTGACACACCTCGTGCTGCAAGAGAGCAAATAGCTCAATCACTTTACCAAACGTAGGCAGAGTCCTGGGACTTTTATTTCTTTGCTACCCAAAAAGTTTATTTTATACAACGATTGTCAGGACAGAATTTGATTATGTGTAAATATGTGTGCAGTTTACCTTTAACCCTTGCTTGTTTATCTCTTCCACCATGATTGCAAGGCATTTGGTGTAGTCGGTTAGATCCTGGTCGGATGTTTCTCTCAGCTTGCAACCCTACACACACGAGAAAACAAATTAAAACACACACAACAAGAAGAAAACACAATTCAAAATTTATACAAATACACAGATAGCGGAGCAAAAACCCCGGGAGAGATAAGGAATAGCAGAACAAAACAGAAGGGGATGGAGACATGGAGAGAGGTATAAAGCAGTGTTTTAGTACTGTCTGGCTTCCCGCAGGTTCTGTTGTTGAATAATTTAGAAGTTCCAGTCAGTGGCCTTAAACTACAACATCTAGGTAAACAACTATGCTCTAGCTTTCTCCGGCTCTATTTCTATCGCTTTTGCTTTTAAAACGTGAAACTTCTTCGTATCATTGACACACAAACACGTAGCAACAGAGAGTTCACACGAACTTGTTCGCTGCGCTCCGTTTGATCACATCCATCCACCCTTCACTTCCCTCCCATCTTCCATCATCTTTCCGTTCCTGACACTCTCCCTTTCTCTCCCTTTCCCTGGTGGATGCTTTTCTGATCCGTCTCTTTTCCGTTTATGCAGAATTATTCACCGTTTGCAGGCAAATCTCTGAAGGAATGTCTCAAACTTTCAAATTGTTCTGCTTCAAAAGCATTACCATAACAGTCTGTTCTCTGTCAAGGAAAAAGAGATTTCTCTTCTTCCAAACAAGCGGTGTGATATTTGTGAAAAAGGTCTAGTATTAGAGATAGCTACAGAGATGGGAGGAAAGGAAAACAGTGACACAGCAGAAGGCATCCAAGACTGTGATGTGTGTGTGTGTGGTAATGTGCACGCAAGTTCTGGATCTGGTGGCAGTAATAGACAAAGTGGATGTATGCAAAAATCTGAAGTTTTGCATTTTACTTTGAGGTGTGTGTGTGTGTGAGAGAGAGAGAGAGAGAGAGAGAGAGAGAGAGAGAGAGAGAGAGCGAGAGAGCGAGAGAGAGAGAGCGAGAGAGCGAGAGAGCGAGAGAGCGAGAGAGCGAGAGAGAGAGAGAGAGAGACATTCACGGATTCATTTCAAATTAAATATTTATTGAACCAAGCTTGCATATTGACTTCCTGCCAGATAAAAACAATTGAGAGACCACCTCATGGATTCTTTACTTTTAATGGCTTTGAGTGGTTTATCCTTAATACACCCATATGATTTTTTTTCTTTTGTGGCCATGAATAAAACCACTACAATAACTGAATGTTTATAATTCACAAATGTTTTTCCTTTTTTTCCACAAAATTATGGATTGCTCCATATTTTGGAGATAACCATGTGAACCTTACCTGTGAAGTCTTCACACTGGATTAAGACCTTGCTATGCTCTCTGCAGCCCATTTAACTGCAGCTGAATCATTTCTTCACCTTGCTGCAACTTTCTACGATGTTCTTACTATACATCATGATGTAAGACAATTGGAATGTGTGATTAGCCGAAGAAGTTTAGAAACTACACTTAAAATGTATTTAATGATGTGATATGTCATTTCTATATTTACAATGGTTGTTTTATTGATTTTGTGAAATAGTATTGAATTTAGGGTTTCACAATAACCACAATTCTAACAATTGAAGTCCTGAAAACAATTAGGCCAATGACTCCTAGAGGATATGGAGGAGGGGTATTCATAGCTAGTTTCAGATTTTTAAGTGACAGAGTTTATAGGATTGATCGTCCCAAATTCCAGTCAGAATTGACTCGAATGAGAAGCGAAACCTCTTCAAGTCCAGTTTGGATTACCATCACAGGGATGACACTCAATGAGTCTGTCTCATTTATGTTTCACCTTTTAAGGTGAATTACTGAAATAAATGAACTTTTGAATCATATTAAGATTTTTCACGTTTCGCCTGTAGAAACACAATATGTAACCACAAACTAATGTTTGTGTTGGTTGGTGCCTGAATAAAGCCATCTTTCCACTGAAAGCAAAAGTGACGTGTAACGAAACACAAGTGTTTTACCCATGAGTTCCCTTCCAACTGGGAGCAAGATGTCCACACGATAACAAGCAAAACATAATGTCTTTGAACCGTCACCTTATCGTGGTGAAGGAGTTTGAGTGCCCTAATGATCCTAGGAGCTATGTTGTCTGGGGCACTTTGTGTCCCTGGTAGGGTCTCCCATGACAAATTGGTCTTAGGTGAAGGGTGAGACAAAGAACGGTTCAGAGGATCTTTCATGGATAAACTATCAAGGAGTCGGAGTACCCGGCCCGGAGGGTTACCGGGGTCCCACCCTCGAGCCAGGCCTGGGGTTGGGGCCCGTGAGCGAGCGCCTGGTGAACGGGCTTTCGCCCCAGGGGCCCGGCCAGGCCCAGCCCGAACTGGATACATGGGCTCATCCAACTGTGGACCCACCACCCGCAGGAGGAACATGAAGGGTCCGGTGCAGTGTGGATCGGGTGGCAGACCAAGGCAGGAGCCTTGGCAGTCCGATCCCCGGACAAGGAAACTGGTTTTTGGGACATGGAACGTCACCTCGCTGGCGGAGAAGGAGCAGGAGCTTGTGGCAGAGGTTGAGCGGTACCGGCTAGATATAGTCGGACTCACCTCGGCACATAGCATTGGCCCTGGAACCCATGTCCTTGAGAGGGGTTGGACACTCTCCTTTGCTGGAGTTGCTCCAGGTGAGAGGCGGAGGGCTGGGGTTGGCTTTTTGTTAGCCCCAAGACTCTCTGCCTGTGTGTTGGGGTTTACCTCGGGGGACGAGAGGGTAGCTTCCCTGCTCCTTCGGGTCGGGGAATGGGTCCTGACTGTTGTTTGTGCTTATTGACCAAATATCAGTTCAGAGTACCCACCCTTTTTGGAGTCCCTGGGACGAGTGCTAGATAGTGCTCCATCAGGGGACTCATTGACCTGCTGGGGGACTTCAATGCTCACGTGGGACATGACAGCATGACCTGGAGGGGTGTGATTGGGAGGAACGGTCCGCCTGATCTGAACTCGAGTGGTGCTTCCTTATTGGACTTCTGTGCAAGCCGCAGTTTGGCCATAACGAACACCATGTTCGAACATAAGGATGCCCATCGGTACACTTGGTACCAGGGCAGCCTAGGTCGCAGGTCGATGATAGACTTTGTAGTCGTATCATCTGACCTGCGGCCGTATGTTTTGGACACCCGAGTGAAGAGAGGAGCGGAGCTGTCAACTGATCACCACCTGGTGGTGAGTTGGATCAGATGGCAGGGGAAGATGCCACATAGACCTGGCAGACCCAAACACATAGTGAGGGTCTGCTGGGAACGCCTGGCAGAAGAACCTGTCAATACGGTCCTCAACTCCCACCTCCGGCAGAGCTTTGACCGCATCCCGAGAGCAGTGGGGGACATTGACTCCGAGTGGGCCTTGTTCCATTTTGCAATTGTTGAGGCGGCTGTTGCTAGCTGTGGTCACAAGGTGGCCGGTGCCAGTCGTGGTGGCAAACCCCGTATCCGCTGGTGGACACCAGAGGTTCGGGGAGCCGTCAGGCTGAAGAAGGAGGCCTACAGGGCGTGGCTGGTCTGTGGGTCTCCTGAGGCAGCAGACAGGTACCAGATAGCCAAGCGGGGTGTAGCAGTGGCAGTTGCCAAGGCAAAATCTCGGGCTTGGGAGGAGTTTGGTGAAGTCATGGAGAAAGGCTATCGATCGGCTCCAAAGAGGTTCTGGCAAACTGTCCGGTGCCTCAGGAGAGGGAGGCAGCAACTCGCTCACACTGTTTACAGTGGGGGTGGGGAGGTGCTGACCTCAACTGGGGCAATAGTTGGACGGTGGAAGGAATACTTTGAGGAGCTCCTCAATCCCACCTACGCGCATTCCGAGGAGGAACCAGAGCCGGGAGACCTGGGTATGGACTGTCCGATCTCGGGGGCAGAAGTTGCTGAGGTAGTCAAACAACTACACAGTGGCGGAGCACCGGGGGCAGATGAGGTTCGTCCTGGGTATCTCAAAGCTATAGATGTTGTAGGGCTGTTGTGGTTGACATGTCTCTGCAACATTGCGTGGTCATCGGGGGCAGTTCCTGTGGAGTGGCAGACCGGGGTGGTGGTCCCCATCTTTAAAAAGGGTGACCTGAGGGTGTGTTCCAACTATAGGGGAATCACACTCCTCAGCCTCCCTGGAAAGGTCTACTCCATAGGTACTGAAGAGGAGGGTTCGATCGATAGTTGAATCTCAGATTGAGGAGGAGCAATGTGGTTTTCGTCCTGGCCGTGGAACTGTGGACCAGCTCTATACCCTTGCAAGGGTGATGGAGGGGGCATGGGAGTCTGCCCAACCAATCCACATGTGTTTTGTGGATTTGGAGAAGGCTTATGACCGTGTCCCCAGGGGCACCCTGTGGGGGATGCTCCAGGAGTATGGGGTTGGTGGCTTTCTGTTAAGGGCCATTCAGTCCCTTTACCAGAGGAGCATGAGTTTGGTCCCTAACCCTAACCCTAACCAGCACCTCCAAATCTGAGACCATGGTTCTTGACTGGAAAAGGGTGGCTTGCCAACTCCGGGTAGGGAGAGAGGTCCTACCTCAAGTGGAGGAGTTTAAGTATCTTGGGGTCTTGTTCACGAGTGAGGGTAGGAGGGATCGGGAGATCGACCGGCGGATTGGTTCGGTGTCTGCAGTGATGCGGACGCTGAGCCGATCTGTCGTGGTGAAGAGGGAGCTGAGCCAGAAAGCCAGGCTCTTGATTTACCGGTCGATCTATGCCCAAATCCTCACCTATGGTCACGAGCTTTGGGTAATGACCGAAAGAACAAGATCGCGGATACAAGCGGCCGAAATGAGTTTCCTCCGTAGGGTGGCCGGGCTCAGCCTTAGAGATAGGTTGAGGAGCTCGGACATTCGGGAGGGACTCGGAGTAGAACCGCTGCTCCTCCGGATCGAAAGGAGTCAGTTGAGGTGGTTTAGGCATCTGGTCAGGATGCCTCCTGGACGCCTCCCTGGGGAGGTGTTTCGGGCATGTCCTGCCGGCAGGAGGCCCCCGGGTCAACCCAGGACACGTTGGAGAGGTTACATATCCAATTTGGTCCGGGAACACCTTGGGGTCCTGCCAGAGGAGCTGGTGGAGATGGCCTGGGAGAGGACCGTCTGGAGCTCCCTAGTTGGGATGCTGCCCCCGCGACCCGGATAAGCGGAGGAAGACGACGACGACGACATAATGTCGTTTTATTTTATTTTTTTCAGTTTTGGCTACTATCATCTACTATGGGACAGCAGTAGGAGGTAGAGCGGGTTGTCCAATAATCAGAAGGTTGAAGGTTCGATCCTGGCTCCGACCACAGAAAGTGGCTGTTGTGTCCTTGGGCAAGACACTTAACCCGCCTTGCCTGCCTGTGGTAGTCAGAAGGACGGGTGGCCCATGTGTTCGGCAGGCCTTGCCTCGTTCAATGCGCCCCAGGGCAGTTGTGGCTACACTGTAGCTCTTCCCCACCAGCATCTGAATGGGTAAATCACTGATTTTGTTGTGAAGCGCCTTGGGGGTTGTAGAACCCTAAGAAGGCATTATACAAATACAGGCCATTTACCATACCATGTTTATTTTCGGAGCTGTGTTCGAGTTATGGGGTCCCACGTCTGTTTACCGTACTATACAGTTTTTTACCCGTGGTCCAACCCTAACCCCTTACCCGTGGAGCTTTACAGCAGTTTCATTTAGACCTGAGCTGAGACTTGAGCAATGGCAAATTCACCAAAGAAAGCTAGAAATCCCTAATCAGAGGAATCTAGGAAAAGAAAAAGAGAACGCGATAGAGCAAGAGCAAAGACCTGAGATAATATTGGGCCGGCTTTTCCTCGCTGGAGAGCTTTTCTTGAAAGAATGGCATGTACTACAGACTCTGACCTAGCCGTGCTGCTAATGGATAGGTAAGTAATAAATTTCACCAGGGTTATTGTGTTTGGTCGGGAATGCATTTCTTATACAGTCCTGATAAAACTTTATTCAATGCTGAAATGTCGATTAATGTGTTTGTTTGTGCATGCGAGTTGGAAAACAGCCACAAATGCACGACAGAAAGATTTGATATCACAACAGTGACGTTACGCAGCAAGCCTTGAGAGGGCGACAGAGAGCATATATCTGCAAAGTTCAGGCGTGTGTATTAAATGAGGTCTTAATTATAATAAGGTGTTCATTCACTGAGGTGCCCTCATTTATCCAACTACACACTGTGTAGTTGTCTTAAACTGCTTATATGCAAAAGTCCTTAAACAACATTTCTTGCATTTAAAGATTCAGAAATTGGTCTTAGATTTAAACAGTGAATTTTCAAAGACCTTTTGTTCAGAGCTTTATATTATCCCTGCCTAAAGTCATATTGCTTTCAATTGTATAAATGTATGTGGAGAGCTTTTATTCCCACTCACCTTGTCTGTATAGAATGCTTTGACCTCAGCAGTAATGGAATCAAAATCCCCACTGATGTAGTCAGGAAGAAAGCTGGATGTAAGGACAGTAAGTGATGGTGAGTGACAGAAGGAGAGGGTTAAGATTGAAAGAGGGAGTAAGTTAGAGATCGAGGAAAGAAGGGGAGAGATGACATTGGAGCATGTGTCAGCGCTTTGATCAGTGCAGCAAAAGAGAAGAGAGATGCCGCCGGGGAAGACGTGGAGACACGAAAACTGACAGGGTGATTCTCCGTGGCGCCAAGCCTGGTCCCGTCACGCTGGTGGCACTGACGGCAGATACACACAGATTGATAGGAGCGAATAACAATGCAAACATGGCAGCAAACAGAAGCAAAAGTTCATATTTATGCTCTTTTAATTAGGTACATACAGCCTGATGAGCCCAACACATCAGCATGGTTGAGTAATTACAGGCTGGGGGGCAAATTTGCTCATTAGTCACAAACATTGTAATAAACAGATTTCCATCTTATGGTGTCGCTCTCATATTAGCAAACAGCACGGCATGAATTACCTGGTGTTGATTAAATGTTAACCTCAAATTAGTATTTTCTACCAGAGCAAATATTCATCTAATCGTTGCAATTTTGCAATTGAAATTTTCATTAATGTGCTCAAAAATGAAAGACAGATAGGAAATAAAACCAACTGTTTAATGTAGCACGTCAACAGAGACATTCAGTATGAACATTAACAGATTTTTGATACATTATTTTCTTATAATACATCTACATTCCACAATTGAAAAATTTGATTTTGACAGCAAATACGTTAGATGAATGTGTTGAGTTGTGACTCATCCAAGAAATGAGACTCACTGACACTAGCTTCAAAACACAATACCTAAACATCCTCTAAGAGCAATGTCCCCCAACCATTCAAGGACAGGTCGGTGATGAATAATCTTTTCCAGACTCGGGGAACAAAAACATCTAAATTTTGGGTGCATTTCCAGAAAACTTCTCAGATTTCAGTCCCATGGAGAACTTGCAGCCAATCATCAAGAAGCAAGTGATCAAACAAATACCCCCCCCCCCCCCCCCCCCCCCAAAAAAAAAGAAACAAAGGATTTCTATTGTGTGTTTCAAGACCCTCATAGTGAATCGAATATTTACTCACACTTGTGAAAAGACCTAGAATACACTTACTTTTTAATGATGCATACGCCTTTTTAAAATGGCTGCTTCGGGTAACTTACGTTGATTTGAAGCGTTGTTTGTGCGTGTCCCCGATATTACCGCAACGCATTCACATGCTGTAATATACAAGTCACCAGTAGGTGGAGTTGACAAAAATGAGTGAGACTAACTCGTCACGGTTACTCCGTCTCGGGTCTTCCAGACTGTCTACGATATCACTGCTGTCTTTTTGTCTGCAGTGACCTCAAAATGAACCAGTTATGGATTTTTTTCTATTAACGACATGCTTGTTTTGGTTGTACCCCACAAACTCGGGACGGAGTTTGAGGGCCTAGCTTGTTGTGGAACTTTATATCATGTTTCCTGATGAAAACGTCTGATAAAGCATGTACAATCAGGTCCATAAATATTGGGACATCAACACAATGGTAACATTTTTGGCTCTATACACCACCACAATGGATATCAAATGAAATGAACAAGATGTGCTTTAACTGCAGACTGTCAGCTTTTATTTGAGGGTATTTACATCCAAATCAGGTTAACGGTGTAGGAATTACAACAGTTTGCATATGTGCCTCTCACTTGTTAAGGGACCAAAAGTAATGGGACAATTGGCTTCTCAGCTGTTCCATGGCCAGGTGTGTGTTATTCCCTCATTATCCCAATTACAATGAGCAGATAAAAGGTCCAGAGTTTATTTCAAGTGTGCTATTTGCATTTGGAATCTGTTGCTGTCAATTGTCAAGATGAGATCCAAAGAGTTGTCACTATCAGTGAAGCAAGTCATCATTAGGCTGAATAAACAACAGAAACCTATCTGAGAGATAGCAAAAACATTAGGCGTGGCCAAAACAACAGTTTGGAACATTCTCAAAAAGTAGGAACACACCGGTGAGCTCAGCAACACCAAAAGACCTGGAAGACCACGGAAAACAACTGTGGTGGATGACCAAAGAATCCTTTCCCTGGTGAAGAAAACACCCTTCACAACAGTTGGCCAAATCATGAACACTCTCCAGGAGGTACAGTAGGTGTATCTGTGTCAAAGTCAACAATCAAGAGAAGAGTCCACCAGTGTGAACACAGAGGGTTCACCACAAGATGTAAACCATTGGTGAGCCCCAAAACAGGAAGGCCAGATTAGACTTTGCCAAACAGCATCTAAAAAAGCCTTCACAGTTCTGGAACAACATCCTATGGACAGATAAGACCAAGATCCACTTTTACCAGAGTGATGGGAAGAGAAGAGTATGGAGACGGAAAGGAACTGCTCATGATCCTAAGCATACCACCTCATCAGTGAGGCATGGTGCTGGAAGTGTCATGGCGTGGGCGTGTATGGCTGCCAGGGGAACTGGTTCTCTTGTGTTATGGTTCTTATTCTGTCCCATTACTTTTGGTCCCTTAACAAGTGGGAGGCACATGTCCAAACTGTTGTAATTCGTACACCGTTCACCTGATTTGGATGCAAATACCCTCAAATAAAAGCTGACAGTCTGCAGTTAAAGCACATTTTGTTTGTTTCATTTGATATCCATTGTGATGGTGTATAAAGCCAAAAATGTTAGCATTGTGTTGATGTCCCAATATTTATGGACCTGACTGTATAACTGTAGGAGTGTTCTCATCGTCGGAACTTCAGGGTCGTTTCTTGGAGGAGGAAATTGGCCAGAGGATATGATGGCCCGGTCCTCTCAGCTGTTGGGTTTCCATACAAATTCAGTTATTTAAGAACTTTGCAAAGACGTTAGCATTTCGCGATTGCTTCAGAAGTCAGTGATGTCACTGATCAGAACCCAAAAGCATCCACAGTAACAATACAATTCTAATTCTGTCAAAGTACAGCAATTTCATCCATTCAGAGGACGAAGAGCTGCTGTGTGATGTAAAATGTGGCGAAGAAGCCGCAACGTTTACAGCACTCTGTGAGACAACAAACTCATTGTGGGGGGATGTTCGCTTAGTTTTTCTGTGTTGTATGTTTAATAACAATTTTAAATCAGTGTGAATGGTACTAATTTGCTTGTTGCTTCTGAAAAAAACTCTTCTACTTTTACTAATGCTGATAGTTTTGGACGGTGTCTGATGATGTCATTTCATACTGAGTTACAACCAGCGTGAGTTAACCAAAAGTTCCACTAAGCTACTCCTCCGGACCATTTTAAGCAACTATCCCTGTTAAGGTACTCCACTGGTTCCTGAAACTGGCCTGTGCATGCTGGGAAGTTCTAGTATAATTACCCTGAAATTCCGATGGAAATTCGCATATTGTTTGCCTAAGTTCAGAATACTGTAGAATGAATAGTTTTACTTTAATAAATCAGACTCTGCAGATGGGGATCTAAATTATTTCCATGCAATCTGTACATATATTATTTTCTGTGTTGTATTTTTAAGCAACCTGAATTTCCAGGATGAGGAAATGATTCATATAAATTATTTTATTTTAAAAAAGAGCTGAAAAATCATGTGCTTCTACTGAAGAGAGCTTGTTGTCAAAGGAGACATAAGTCCCTGTTTATTTTATGTTTGTGTGTTTATAGGAAATAAGGTAGGACCATGCAGGGAAGCAGTAGCTGCTATCTAGAGGCATTAATAGGTTTGACATTATGATTTTATGGTTGGCTGGGTATTGTGCTCATGTACATTTGTTTGTGTGTGTGTGTGTTTGTGTGTGCTCAACAGCAAGCCATGAGAGCTATGTTCCAGTTGGTTGAAGAAAGAGATACATGGGGATTAGTTTCTTTTTATCCTTTTCTGCATTCCCATTTGCAACATCCAGATACTCCGAGGCAAACACAACAACACTTGCATCTAATCTGCTTGATATACACAATCAAACACGTGTGCACAAACACTACAATCATCGTTAAAGAAATAACACCTTCACATGAGATGGTCAAAAGAAAGCTGCATATTTTCCATGAACACATATACACAAAATGGGATCACACACACACACTTATAGACACAAGTACAAGCTAATATGTAGTTTCACATGTGTGCTGGCACATTTTCAGCACCACAATCGCAACTTCATTCAGAAATAACCTTCATGTGACAGATGGGAGGCAATGTGTTGCTAGGCTTGATAGGTGACACACACACACACACACACACACACACACACCCTTTGTGACTTGTGGACGGCATCGTCGGCTTCTAGTAATTGAACAGGCGAGATTCTAAATTCTGCATTTGTCTGTGTGTTTGGGTGTAAAAGCTGTTTGCGTGTGTGTTTGTGTGGCTGCTTGTTGTGTGCCTGACAGTCCTCACTTTCACATTAATATTAACTGACACTTTAATTTGGATGGGAAATAGAGCATTTTACTACCAGTTTGTCTGAGCACTGGTGGCAGGGATGGCTGTGTGACCTTTTTATGAGTTAGTGTGTGTGTGTGTGTGTGTGTGTGTGTGTGTGTGTGTGTGTGTGTGTGTGTGTGTGTCTATCAGTCTGCCTGCATGTTCCTATCTCCCTATCTACTCCCTGCTTGGCTCTTTACTTATTCTCACTCTCATTCTTCTAATGGTGTTTCCTTTGCAACTTCCTCTACTGACTTCCTATTCCTGCTCTATAGTGTTACTTTCAGTTGTAATGAAACCAACCTCCTCCTCTCCCACGACATTGAGACATTAAAACTATGTTCTTTCACTAATAACACTGTGGATTCTACCTTTTTTTTTTTTCAGAAATTCTCTTCCATAAACCTACCCCAACCAAAGAATTTGAATCCCGTAATATCACGTTCCCTTTATAAGATTATTTCAGCAACTGAAGAGACGTGGCTCTGATTACTACTCGTATCCCTCTCGTCTCCCAATCAAGGAGCCAATGAAACCGAGAAAGATTTTAGATAACATTATTAGAGCTTACACACATAAACAGCCT